TTTTAAATCACATGTTTCAACCCTTAAAACCAGTCCAAAATAGTGTATAAACAACAAGAAAAGAGAAGAGAAGAGTAGTAGAAACAAGGAAGAAGATGCCAAAGGTTATACCTCCTGAAGAGAGGATGTTCTTGGTTAAGCAAACTTGATTCAAAGCACTCTCAAACCTCTGAAATTATGTTCAAAATCTCAGCAAAAGGCTCAAGTTTTAAGCTCCAATGGTGTAACTAACTTGTATCTATATTTGGGAGGGTAGAGAAGATGTTTAGTTTTGTCTTCTAAGCTCTTGGAATGAATTTCTCAACCCCAAAACCTAAGGGCAGACCTTCTATTTATAGAATTTAAGCTTTTCACATTGGAAATATCAAGAAAAGGATAGCTGGCTGAAGTCCCATACCTGTAGACAGCTGGCAGCTACAAAATATCTCCCTACGCTAAACATGGCCGGCCAACCATGAGCGGGTACGGCCGGCCACAAATTTTTGGCCTGCTGGCCACTTGTCTGGCCTGCAGGTCCCTGGGTGGTCGGGCAAAAAGGGAAGTGGTTTTGGCTCAAAAAGGGGTGTAAGGTTTAGGTTTTTGGAGCTCAAAAGTGAATCCTTCTTGTTGAAGATTCAAACGATTGCTTAGTGTAACATTTCATCATCGAATGCTCGGAACGAAGCGCCCAAGTCTTAAGAGCAGTAAAAAATGGGGTGTCTACATTGGGTACCAACAACACATAACTCTTTTCGAAAATCGACTCCCTACCCGGACTCCCATGCTATTTACCACCCCCTTAAACAACCTTTACAAGATTTCCACAAATTCCAAGAATTTATACGTCCATAAGAACAAAGGTAAATACAACCATTCAAATAATTGAGCTATTATGAAGGCATAATCATCATATTTCCAAAGAAAATCTCAAGAACTTTTGATTTTGTGAAGCTCAAGTTAAAAGACGTCTCATTCTCATATTTCAATCATAAATTTAAAGGATTGAAGGTTAATTCCATTTGAGCATATCATTGTTCAATTTAAAAAACTTGGGTTTTTATCAAATTTGGGGCTTTTGCCTTTCCATGATGTAAAATGCTATTTTTCAACTAATGTTTTCATAATCCACAAACATTAATATAAAATTTGAGAAAATATATGAGAAATTTCATTTTTGAAATCAATACCCACTTCTTTGCAAGCTCAAACCTTAATCACAAAATCAATGTCACAATAATACCAAAAAACATCCTCAAATTAAACAGATACAAAGATAAAAGCAATCCTACCACCAAGATGAGAGTAGAGAAGCAAAATCAAGAGGATTCCTTCGAAAATCCAAAATCCAATCAGTTAGAAATGTAGATCTTCACTTCTTCTTCATCTTTAATGTACGATCCATGTGGATTGTTGGTGAAAAATGGGTGAAATCAAGGTTTGGATGTCAAGGGTTTCGGGGTATGGAGGAGAGGGAGAGAAGAAAGGAAGAAAGAAAAAAGATTTTGGGCCAAAAACTCACTTTAAAGTGTCTGATATCGACCAGATCGCTCGAGCGAAGAAAGCTTGACTCGAGTGGTGAAAAGAAGCTCCCAGAATCTTTGAAATTTGCACAGTTTGCACGAGCGCAACTTCCTTCGCTCTAGCAAACTTGCTTCCAACACAGATACTTAAAATTCAAACGAGCATAAATCTCTCGTCTGAACTCTGTTTTAGGTCGTTCTTGTGTCTAAATCGAAGCCCCAGAAACAAGCTTTCCAATGGTTCTAACCTCAAATCCAAATTCAAAGTGTGGAAAGAGAAAAGAGTAAAAGAGTGAAGATTACTCATAGGACAGTTATCCAAATCAATGTTTTTGGTCCAATCTTACTTTACCATTATGATACCACCTCAATCAATATTCCAAAATGAACCAAAAGGGCTCCAAGGACAATAATAAGGGTGTCAAAAGTAATCCCATGAGTTCAAGAAGTACAAAGTGTTACATTAGGACCTCAATGTTTCCTACTCCTGGTTTTGGCGGCAAGATTGTCGTTATGTTGGCATTTGCGTTGCTGTTAAGATGGTAGGTTGATGCATAGAGCAGCTAATAAAGTGCTTGGCTGCTAGTCTGGTTCAGTTGGTAGAGTTTGAACCTTGGGTACGAACGGAGTATTCACTGCAACGAAAGCTTTAAGAACAACGATGATGGTTTGTAGAGGTAGAGAGAGAGAGAGAGAGAGAGAGAGAGAATGCCTCTAGATCTTTAATGCGAAGGTAAATCACACTAAACACAAAAACACTAGTATAATTAAGGAATTATAAGTATGGTACGTGATGGGGTTGTCACACTTACGATTAAAAAACACCTCAAATTTCTCCCCACACAGGTAGTGCCTCTAGATTTTTAATGCGAAGATTATTGTCGCTAACTCTAAGTCATGTGTAGGGTAATTTATCTCGTGTGTTTTTAATTGCCGTGAACCATATGTGACAACTTTCCCTTCTTGCATCAATACACAACCCAAATGTAATAACCCGACCCTCGTATGTGTTTCTGGTATACTTTCTGTCCCCTATTCTGTGCACTTAATTGCTTATGTGATTATAGATTCATATCTGTCTAATAAGAGGGGTATTTGTTACAACTATAATGGTTAGATCAGGAATTGGAAGCCTTAGAGGCTTAATTATCTGAAATTGATTCTATATTGGTGATTAGCATAATTTTTAAATCATAATATGATTTTCTGTAAAAATCTGATTTGGAATCATTAAACTGATAGAATTTTGTCCTATTCAACTTTATATATATATATATATATATCTGTGTGTCTCTTTGAATATTTGACTTAGAGCCTTATACAAAAATCTCCTGAGAGAGAGAAAAGAAAAGAGTTTGAGAGGAAGAGGAAAGTTCTTCAAGGAAGAAATTGAGAAAATTAAGAGGGTTTGTAGGGAATTTAACTTAAGGTATGTCTAACCCTTTCTAATTGACCCTCCTCTTTGAATTGAGTAGGAATTCCTCTATATTATTGTGTTAGGTGATTAATTGAGTTGTTGTCTCTTGTGTTGAATTGATTTGGAGTTGTATTGCATTATTTAGTGAGAAATTTCTTCTTGTTTCTTAAATTATCAAGCTTGAACTCATCTACAAGAATAAATGATTGCATATGTGTGTGTGCGGGTGTGTGTGTGTGTGTGTGGAAGATGTAAATATTTTGGAACTGAGTATGTTTATGAGTTTAAGATTAATGATCTAATTCATATTTAGATTGATATGTGTTTATAATTCCTATTTACATGATTTTTGGCCCATATTCTAGAAAATAATGGACTTATTTTGAGCCTTGCAAACACTCACCAAATTGGGTTTTTGGGTTGAATTTCGGACTATGCAAACAGGGAAAATCGCCGCACGTGCGGGAGTCATGGCCGCACATGTGGGAAATGGAGAATTTTGGAACTTTGGCTACTGCTAAAAAGGCACGTGTGGGGCTTCACTGCCGCACGTGCAGGAACCCTTGCCTCACGTGCGGGGCTCACAGCCGCACGTGCTGCCCATACTGGGAAAAATGGTCTATCGTTTTACGTGTTTGACCCTCGGATATTTTTGAAATCTGTATTTGATGCCTTTTTGATAATTGTAAATTCATTCGAAGCCAAACAAGTCAAAAAATGACTTAACAAGGGAAATGAACTAATTTGCAAGTTGTGTATGCTTGTAGGTCACAACCCGAGAGGAACTAACACTCCACTACAGCACAGTGAGTATTAGTACTGTGATTGTACATTTACTTACCGTTAATGATTCTTATTATTAACGCTCTATTTTTCATAAGTTAGTTATGTTAACATTGATAAATGATTGGAAATTCTGGGTACATCCGTATAAATCTGGAATCACTCTGCTCTGTGGATATCTGGGCCCGAGGCCAATCTGTAAACTCTGTTAGGCCAGAGGCCAATTTGTAAACTCTATTAGGCCTAAGGCCGTTCTGTATATCTCTGGGCTTAAAGCCACTCTGTTTAAAGACTAGGCCCAAGGCCGTTCTGGAAATAGTTACAAAATCAGATTAACCATATGTTCTCTGCATTTTACACACGTTGACATGCATAATAATTCAAGTTAATCATTGAATTGTTTAAGTACTATTATTCACTGAGCCTGGCTCACTCTGTATTTTGTCTGCTTTTGTAGGTAACCAACCTGGAGGTCAGTCTTAACCCTTGATGCTTGTCTCTCTTTTGTCAGCCTCAGTGTGTCCAGGCACTTGGATGAAGCTCGTGCATTTTTGGGAAGTTTCGCTAGGCTTTTGGCTTTGTACTCTAATTGTCTGTCTAAGGTTAAAATGTATATAACCCTTTCTTCAACAATGTTTTTGTTATACGCCCAATTATGGGGTTGGGTCTATGTATGTGTATGTATATAACTGAAGCTCAGGTGTATGTTTTCTGTATTTTGTCTACCTGATGCGATGTGTTTGATCCTGGCATATTAGTGGTAGCTCAATGGATATGATTTTATGTTATTAGATGCTTCCGTTCAGGCCCCATATGTTAACTATATGGAGTTAAGTGTCCGTTTCTGAAGTGATCACGCCCAAACTTTTAGGGACGGGTTTGGGGTCGTGACAAGTGGTATCAGAGCACGAGTTGCTATCTCACACACGGATCCATTGAGCCTTAGGATGTCTAGAAAAGACTTAGGCATTATGCATAACATTCTGAATGCAAAAAAAGAGATTGATGGCAACGTTAAATGTAGTCTGCTAGCGCTAATGATCATGATCCATGTCTATTGTATATTTTTTGTGCGTATTGTCTTGTAGAATATGGTGAGAACAAGAACGGAAGACCCGGAAGATGCTACTTCTTCACAGTTGGACAGGATGGAAAGAATGATTATGGAAATGGCGGAGACCTTACGGCAACAACAGCAACAACCTCAACCACAACCACCACCGCCACCGGTACCTCCGCCTGTGGTACAAGATTTTCATGTTGAGGACCGAACTATCACACTCACGAAGGAATTTAAGAAGATGAAGCCGCTATCATTCAAGGGAGGAATAGAACCGATGAAAGTTGAAGCCTTGGTGTTGGGAATAGAAAAACTGTTTGAAGTATTTCCCTATACCGAAGCCCAAAAAATGCAACTTGCTGCCTTCACTCTGGAAGACGAAGCACGGAGGTGGTGGATGCTTACGAGAACTGTACACCAGGGGTTAACATGGGACATATTCTTGGAGCTGTTTTATGACAAGTACTTTCCTCAAAGCATGCGAGACAAGAAGGTGACTAAATTCGAAACTCTTAGACAAGGAAATAAGACCGTTGCAGAGTATGAAGCTCAATTTGCAGAACTAGCCCAGTTTGCACCTCATATGGTGGATACGGATTATAAGAAGGCACGGAAATTTGAATGGGGATTGCGGAGTGCTATCCTGGACCGAGTCAACATGTTAAAGTTACCTACCTATGTGGATGTGTTGGAGAGGGCTGTTATAGCAGAGAGAAATATTGTTGCTCAGACTCGGATTTCTGAATTGAGAGGAAAGAGGCAGAACACACAATTGTTAAGGGGGTCAGCTACTCTACCTAGCAAGAAACAAAACTCAGGAACTTCTAGCACGTCCACTTTTACTTCAGACTCGACCCCTGTTTGTTCAGAATGTGGAAAGAAGCACCGTGGGACTTGTTATTGGTTGTCCGGAGCATGTTTTCGATGTGGTAAAACGGGTCATCTGGTGAGGGATTGTCCCCAAAGGAATCAACAGAATGGTAATAAAACTGTCACAAATTCAGTAGGGTCTACACCAACTTCCAACACCAAGCCAGCTGCCAAATCTGCTAACAACAAAGACACTGCAAGACAAGGCAGGGTGTTTGCATTGGTCCCGGGAGATGTGCAAAATGCGGCAACAGTGGTGTCAGGTAAATTTATTGTTCACGGTCATTCTGCTCATGTATTGTTTGATTCTGGCTCTACCTATTCCTTTGTGTCAAAACCATTTGCGCAAAATTTAGATAAATCTGAGGAAATGTTGTCTTACATGTTATGTGTGTCTTCACCTTTGGGAGACTCTATGATCTGTACTTTTGCATATTTTGCTTGTGAACTCCTACTTGGAGATATTCGGGTATATGCCAATCTGTTACCTCTCGATATGACTTATTTTGATATTATTCTGGAAATGGACTGGTTGAGCGAATATGGTGCAACTATTGACTGTTTGACTAAGCAAATCAGTTTTCACCCTCCGGGACAATCAGAATTTACTTTTCAGGGACATGGAGTGACTTCTCCACCTTATTTGATTTCCGCAGCAAAGGCTTGTAAATTAATTCAGAAAGGGTGCCAGGGGTATTTATGCAGTATTTTGAAGGGGCAAGTGATGAATGGGAGTACTGACATGATTCCAGTTGTCTGTGAATTTTTGGATGTTTTTCCGGAAGAATTACCGGGGGAGTTAGTGGACCGTGAATTGAATTTACAATTGAAGTGCTACCGGGAATCCAACCCATTTCTAAAACTCCGTACCGGATGTCACCAGTTGAAATGAAGGAATTGAAGACTCAGTTGCAAGATCTACTAGATAAGGGATTTATTCACCCGAGTGTCTCTCCATGGGGTGCACTAGTTCTGTTTGTGAAAAAGAAAGATGGAACACTCCGATTATGTATAGATTATAGGGAGCTTAATAAAGTAACAATCAAGAATAAGTACCCATTGCCGCGGATCGATGATTTGTTTGATCAGCTACAAGGGGCATAGGTCTTTTCGAAAATTGACTTACGGTCTGGGTACCACCAATTGAAGGTCAAAGCTGATGATGTCGAGAAGACAGCTTTTCGAACCCGGTATGGTCATTACGAATTTCTAGTTATGCCCTTTGGAGTTACTAACGCACCAGCAACGTTTATGGATTTGATGAACCGTATCTTTAAGCCTTATTTGGATGAATTTGTGGTGGTATTTATTGATGATATCCTCATCTACTCGAAGAATGCAGAAGCTCATGAGAATCATCTTCGTTCAATTCTTCAAACACTCCGAGAAAAGAAACTGTATGCAAAGTTAAAGAAATGTGAATTATGGCTACAGGAGGTGGCATTTCTAGGGCATGTTATAACAAAGGAAGGAGTCTCTGTTGATCCACACAAAATTGAGGCAATCGTGAATTGGCCAACTCCTACCAATGTAACTGAGGTGCGTAGTTTTATGTGATTAACCGGATATTACAGGAGGTTTGTTCAAGATTTCTCCAAAATCGCTGTAACGCTTACACAATTAACTCAAAAGGGAGTTGCGTTTGAATGGTCAGAACAGCGGGAATTTGCTTTCCAAGAATTAAAAATGAGGTTGACTACAGCTCCGGTTCTTGCCTTACCCTCTGGTACTGAAGGATTTGTAATTTATAGTGATGCTTCTCAAAAAGGGCTAGGTTGTGTACTTATGCAAAATGGAAGGGTTATCGCTTATGCTTCACGTCAACTTAAACCCCATGAAAAGAATTATCCCACACATGATCTTGAGCTAGCAGCAGTGGTTTTTGCTTTAAAAATATGGCGACACTATCTGTATGGGACTACCTATGAAGTTTATACCGATCATAAGAGCCTTAAGTATCTTTTTACCCAGAAGGAGTTGAATATGCGACAACGGCGATGGTTAGAGCTTATTAAAGACTATGATCTACAGATCCATTACCATCCTAGTAAAGCCAACACGGTTGCAGATGCACTTAGTCGGAAGAATATGGGGAATTTAGCAAATTTGTTTATGGGGCAAAAGGAGTTAGTGATTGAACTGGATAAAATGAACGTAGATCTTGTGGTACATGGACAGGAGGCCATAGTAGTAGCAGTGATGGCCCAACCAACCTTACTTGAAGAGATCAAACTACGTCAAATGGAAGATGGAACGTTAAGTAAGATCTGTGATGAGTTAGAGACAAAACCGAAACCGAGATTCAATTTGGAGAATTCAGTGCTCAAATTTCAAGGCAGATTATGTGTTCCCAATGTGTCAGAAGTTAAGCGAAAATTGATGGAAGAAGCTCATGCCTCGAAATTCTCATTACATCCTGGAAGTACTAAAATGTATCGGGATTTAAAACAAAATTTTTGGTGGCCAAGCATGAAAAAGGAGATCGCGGAGTTCGTCTCTAAGTGTTTGCAATGTCATCAAGTAAAGGCAGAGCATCAGAGACCGGCAGGGTTGTTGTAACCCCTACCAATCCCGGAATGGAAGTGGGAACATCTGACCATGGATTTTGTTGTAGGATTACCACGGACTCCTAGGGGTATGAATTCTGTATGGGTCATTGTAGACCGATTAAGTAAGTCCGTTCACTTCCTACCAGTGAAGACTCAGTATAATGCAGATAAACTTACTGTAATCTATGTGAACGAAATAGTAAGACTTTATGGTGTCCCAGTCTCGATTGTGTCAGACAGAGATCCAAAATTTGTTTCAAGATTCTGGCAAAGTCTACAGGAAGCAATGGGTATAGAATTAAAGTTTAGCACAACCTTTCACCCTCAAACAGACGGACAGTCCGAGAGAACGATACAGACATTAGAGGATATGCTCCGAATGTGTGTTTTGGATTTTCAAGAAAGCTGGGAAACCCATCTACCGTTGGTAGAGTTCACATATAATAATAGTTACCATTCGACTATTGAGATGGAACCCTATGAGGCTCTATATGGAATACCGTGTCGTTCCCCCATGTGTTGGGCCAAAATTGGATATAGATCATTATTAGGGCCCGAAATTGTTCAGTTGACGACTGAAAATATTAAAACTATTCGGGAAAGATTAAAAACTGCTCAAAGTAGGCAGAAGAGTTATGCGGATAACCAACGAATGAATTTGGAGTTTGAAGTGGATAGTCATGTTTTTGTGAAGGTCACTCCGATGAAAGGACATCCAAGATTCGGAAAAAGGGGTAAGTTAACACCCCGATATGTTGGTCCATTTCAAATTTTGGAAAGAGTAGTAGGTTCGGAAGCTTACCGAGTTGCTCTTCCTCCAAGTATGAGCCAAGTCCATAATGTGTTTCACATATCTATGCTCCGAAGTTACCTCCCAGATCTAACTCACATTATAGATTATCAGCATGTTACACTTAACGACATATTAACCTATGAAGAGAAACCAATTCGAATTCTAGACCGGCAAGTGAGACAATTACGAAATCGAGAAATTCCAATGGTAAAAGTTGAGTGGAAAGAACATTACGGAACCGAAGCGACTTGGGAAAAAGAAGAGGAAATGCAACACCAACATCCGCATCTGTTCCCATCCTAAGGTAACGAAAGTTTGAGGGACCAAACTTCTTTAAGGGGGGGGAGAGTGTAATAACCCGACCCTCGTATGTGTTTCTGGTATACTTTCAGTCCCCTATTCTGTGCACTTAAATGCTTGTTGTAAAATTTTATGTGAAATTAAGTTTAATGAAGTGAATCTTATGATTATAGATTCATATCTATCTAATAAGAGGGGTATCTGTTACAACTATAATGGTTAGATCAGGAATTGGAAGCCTTAGAGGCTTAATTATCTGAAATTGATTCTATATTGGTAATCAGCATAATTTTTAAGTCATAATATGATTTTCTGTAAAAATCTGATTCGGAATCATTAAACTGATAGAATTTTGTCCTATTCAACTTTATATATATATATATGTGTGTGTGTGTGTGTGTCTCTTTGAATATTTGACTTAGAGCCTTATACAAAAATCTCCTGAGAGAGAGAAAAGAAAAGAGATTGAGAGGAAGAGGAAAGTTCTTCAAGGAAGAAATTGAGAAAATTAAGAGGGTTTGTAGGGAATTTAACTCAAGGTATGTCTAATCCTTTCTAATTGACCCTCCTCTTTGAATTGAGAAGGAATTCCTCTATATTATTGTGTTAGGTGATTAATTGAGTTGTTGTCTCTTGTGTTGAATTCATTTGGAGTTGTATTGAATTATCTAGTGAGAAATTTCATCTTATTTCTTCAATTATCAACCTTGAACTCATCTACAAGAATAAATGGTTGCATATGTATGTGTGTGGGTGTGTGTGTGTGTGTGTGGGTGTGTGTGGAAGATGTAAATATTTTGGAACTGAGTATGTGTAGACGCGCCCGTGGGGGGGGCCCTGGCTACAGTTCGGACTCGATTTGTTTCACGGTTCTTAATCTGAACCAAAGAGTCCAAATCCGGCAAATCGTTTTGAGAAACAAATTTTTGAAAAAAGAAGTGCCAAACATGGACTGCTTTTGCCAGATATAGAGTCGCCACCTAAATATTTTTATGGGGAAATTTAGGAAACCCTGACTCGGTGCCAAAGGCCACCCGTCCATCATCACCAAAGTTGCCTCGGCTCGAGAGCTTGGGTACGATTGGGGAAGGTCAGCTGTGAGCACCCCCTCTCGCCCGATCCGAAGATTGGCCTCTACTAACCGTGATATCCGTTTTTGAAAACGTTATGTGTTCTTATTCCGGTTATTAGCCTAGAATTACTATGTTATGCGCACTGTCGATGAGGCCAGACCAAATCACCTAAATTGGAACAAAACA